AGAGGTCAAATGTAATTATAGGTCGATTTCTCTTAGTCATTTCTCGAATTAGTTTTTCAGTACAGATTTTCCGAAATAAATAAATTTTGCGTCAACGGTGCTCACTTTTATACTTTATAAGAGTTCAACATTCTAGGTCAATCCAGTCCATTCAAATATCCCCCTTTCCCATTCAAACATTCCCCTCTTTCAATGCAAAAATACTAAAAAATCGGGATTAATATATCCAAAGGAGAAGAGAAACATGTAAATATTTATATGGTTGGGTTTTGCTTTAGAATTTTAAAAGAATTAAAAAGTTGGTCCTTATTATTCAATCGTAAATTCTGATTTCACATATTATGTCGTTGTTATTATTTCTATTATAATGCAGAGTTTCGGGAATATTCTCTCGTAAACGTGAATACAGTGCAATATGTAACTTACTGTCGTAACATTATCAATGTATTCAAAATAATACAACATAAAATACGTTAATAGCAATGATCTCAGACGGGAGAAACTTTAAAAACTTTATTGAAAAGGGCTTACCGGTTTTTCCGTTTCAGTAGTATTCTCGCAAGTCTAAAAGTAGAAATATATTTTTAATGCCAGGGATAGTTTATAATATGCCATAGGTATTTTTTGTGATCTTTCTAAGGCTTTCGATTGTATTCATCATGAAATCGTAATCAAGAAACTACAATATTACAGTGTCAAAAATATTGCCCTTATATTTGTTATTTCATATTAAAATGACAGAACTCGTATTAAATAACAGATGTCGTTGTTAATGGTAAAGGTTACTCCGGATCAGTAGTATCTTAGTTAAGACTTAGTTCTGCAGCATATGTTGTAAGAAAGATTAAAATTCTCACCAATGTTGGGACAGCTAGATTAGTTTATTTTAGTTTTTTTCATAGCGTGATGTCTTATGGAATTTTGCTATGGAGTAATGCGACTAACATCGAAGCCATATTTGTTTTACAAAAGAAAGGCGTACAGGCTATATAAAACTTAAATTGTAATGAGTACCTTAGAGAAAAATTTAAACAAATAAACATATTAACTTTGGCATCGCAATATATTTATGAAAATTTAATGTATGTACATAAAAACATAAATAGCTTTGATAAGAATAAAGATGTCCAAACATTAAATACTTGGAACAAACAAAAGCTTGTAATACTAGTTACTAGACTCGAGAGAATTAGAAGTTCATTTATGGGACAATTTACTTTACAAAAAAATCCCAGAAAATGTACAAAATTTGTCAATAAACAAGTTTAATAGTTTTATTAAAGAAAAATTGTACAAAAGTGGTTATTGTAATATCAACGAATACATAAATGAAAAAACCCCTGGGAAAGAGCTGATCGCTACCATGCTGGGTCTATTAAAACTCATTTAAAATTTGTACGAACTAAATTATTGTAAAGTGAAATATGTTTTAAAAAAAGTCGCGCTGGGTTTCTTGCTGGTTTTTCACAGGACAGATGTTTTTGTATTATGTACTAATTTATATTTAATAAAAATTATTCTATTCTATTCTTGGGCGGAGGTAGCCATCAGGTGAGCCGAATGCTCGTTTGCTCCTTATTTTATAAAAAAATCTAATTTTGACTTTCTTTCTTAAAAAGAATCCTCTTAGACCATAGTACAGACCCAAGACTATCAATTAACCACAAAGTGTAATAAGAGAAATAGGTTATTCATAGATTAATCTCCACAAAGTTCAAGCGCTAAAAATCTTTCATTAATATGGAAAATCTCATATCCTTCCATAATTTGTTGAGCCAATTCGGTGTGAAATATGTTTTGCATCAGCTGTTGCCTACTATGTACCCTTGTTGTTGCCAACATACAGATGTCGACTCATATTATACTGATGTGTTTTCCTGCAAAATTGCTCGCAGAAAGAATTTCATTATTAAATGCCAAGTGGAACAAATTTCGAAGACGTTTTCATAAAACTTTACTTTCATAAATCGTAACTTTATTGTTTATTTCCACTAAGGATTTATTTATTAATCACCACTAAGTATCAAGATAGAATGGCTTACAGCCTCTAATAATACTAGCTTTCTATCAATCAAAAACCACAAAATATTTTTGAAAATTTCTGATTCCTATATTCAAGAAAGCTTCATTCTTTATTCTGATTCATTTTATTTTATCGGAATATGATGCAAATAAAAGCTTTTAAAAAACTTGTGCGTCCTGTAACTCAAGACGGCTAAAACGAAACAAGTCTTAAGTCGCTTATAATTTATTTTCAATGATTTTGTCGTACACTATCTGCACTACAGAACGAATCGTATAGGAAACGTTTTTTACTATGGTTACCAGGTATAAGTTGTCTCTCAACATCCACGGAATGAGCCCCATAGTGATAGTTCGACAGCATTTCGACAAAGTTTAACTAGTTAGAAAAAAAACCTTTTGTAGAAAATTGTCCATCATATTGTTTCAAAAACCTTACTTCTTTAATGCCCTATATAAAGGAAAATATACTTTAACAATGATAATATATCGACTTATACGGAGTGGACGCTTGTCTTCATATTGTGCCTGTCCGCTCCGCCGGGTGGAAAATTTAAAACGTGATAAAGACTAGATTAATCTTAAGAGGAGCGATTAACTCTTGCATCAATATCGTTTATTGAATGTTATCTTTTTTAGATCTTATCTTTTGTTTGTTACACTAGAATGTCTATAGCCAACAGTGTTTTGTTGGTGGCTCCATAAGAGATTACATGATTCTATTTTGACCTTAGGGTGTCATAATAGGTAGATCCATCCATACATTAGACTATAAAAGTGCATTGCAGACCATATACCTCTTTTTATAGTTTTGAGTTGTTACTAGAAAAAACGCTACTGTATTTCTCCCATTTTAGTTACATCTGTCACCTCTTCGCACCCACGTGACTATATGGGGTAGTAGGTATTCTTACACCGCAACTTTAAGGTCGTTAGGAAGGTACAGAAACTGTTATTTGCCGGTAGAAATAAGTAACCGAGTGCTATCTACGCAGGCGGCTAAGAAACCTGAGCTAAAAACCACCTAATACAATAAATTGAGTATATGATTTGTACTCGGATTAAAATAAAATTATTTTCATTTGTAAGCTGAGTAATTCAATGCTATTTGGTTGTGTGATAGGTACAAGTAATATGAATTCTTACACCGCCAGCATAAAAGAAATTTTCAATGAGTGAGATTTTAAATGCTGATTTATCATGTGCTCGGTGATGAAAGAAAATTTTGTGAAGAAACCTGTATGCTCCAAAAAAAAAATCAGAAATTATTAGTACTTAGGCTGTAGCTTTACTTCTTTATTTTTGTCGACTAATAAATAAATAAAATTCTCCTTTTGTGAAGTCAGTTCAAAAATAGATTTTTATTATAGAATAAGGGTGACAAACGAGCACACAGTCCACCTGATTGTAGGTGGATGCTGTGGCCTATAGACATCTAAATTTATCCTCAATTAAGAATCAGAATGCAGATGCTTTGCCACCCTTGAGGACTGAGATGGAGTGCATCGTTTCCAGTAAAAAGGGTCTCCGGTTCTCTACACTCAACATACTAAACACAGCAGCATTGATCTGCTATTTTACGCTGGTATTCTGTGAGAGCGTCCTTCCCCGGTCGAGCCAGCCCATTCGAGCTGCAGCCACAATTTAGCTACAGCATGGCTCTAGCACGTAGATGCAAATTGCACATTACAGTTTAATAAAATATGGGCATTTAAATCAAATACTTAGTCGGGTCACAAGTTCTGTCAAAACCTTAGATATTATTTTATTTTTTATTTTTATTTATTTATTTATTCTTTATTGTAACACACCAACTAGGGGTTACAAAGGGCGGACTTAATACCCCATGGCATTCTCTACCAGTCAAACTGACGAAATATGAACTGAAAAATGGCAGGTGCAAGTTAAGGACAATAATAAAATATAAGTTAATAAATAGATTACACAATTCAATATACATATACATATATATATATATATATATATATATATATATATATATATATATATATATATATATATATATAAATTAAAATACACATATATTTTTTTTTAAAAAACGTTACCCCCACACTAGGATTTTCTTCTGTATCGTGGAGGCAGTTTACAAACATTAATTGCACAAGGACAAACATCCAGACCCGGAACAATTATTTGTAGGCCATACAAATACTTGTTCCATGCGGGATATATATATATAACATATTATATATATAAAACGGGGAAGGCTATTAATTGTTTACCTCCAAATTACGTTGTGCACCAATCTTTTAAGCAAAAGCTTATTCGGAACTTCCTTGACATCAGCTAGTAAAGCATTGCACAGGAGAATAGCCTGAACTGTGAAGAAAGAATTAAAAAAAAATTGTTCTTTGTTCTGGAATACTAACTTTAAGTGCGTTAGAAGGACGAGGTTCACGGCCGGAAATTGAGTAGAGAAAGATGAAGTTTTCTTTAAGATATCGCGGAGAATAAGCATCATTTAAGATGGAAAAAAGCATCTGCGGTCAAAAGAGTGATCAATGAAGACCTAGAACTACGAGCTTATCGTAAGAAGACCGGATATTTTTGAACGAGCGTTTAAAAATAATTAGGCTGGGTAGATCCCGCGCTTTGTTACGGCGGTACGCGGTGAAAAAACACCGAGAAATTTTGTTTTCGGATGAAAAAATTTATAACATCGTAGAAAGTTATAATAAAAAAAGGATACGGTGTATGCCAACAGCAGTGAAGGAGCCAGCACGCGTATTCCGAGGGTTCAACGAGCACATTATCCTTCGTCACTCATGGTTTGGCTTGGAGCCCCATATTCAGGCTTGACTGAGGTGTTCTTCTGTGAAAAAGGTGTAAAAACCAGTGCCGAGGTGTATAAAAATACCGTCCTAATAAACATAGTGGAACCTCGTTCTCAAAAAATGTTCAAAAAGAGACATTGGATATTCCAACAGGACTCTGCACTGGCTCATAGGACACGAAGCATGCAAAGCTGGTTGACCGCCCGTGGAATTGACTTTATCGGACATGAAAACTGGCCCTCTTCTAGTCCAGACTTAAACCCACTGGATTACAAGATATGGCAACGTTTGGAGAAGAAAGTCTGGGCTAAACCTCATCAGAATTCGGAATCTCTCCAAGCATCTTTGGCTAAAGCAGCGGCAGAAATAGATATTAGTGTAGTGCGTGCTGTGATTGATGATTGGCCGCGTCTATTAAAGATTAAATGTATTCAAAAGACGAGAGGACATTTTGAATAATGTAAATAAAATTGTATTCTAAATTAAATTACCTTTCATTTCATAGATAATTTCTTTATAATTATCAAAAAGTGTATCATTAATTTTATAAAAAGTTTTTGACTGAACTTATGTCCTGACTAGGTAAAATTAAGCTTCTGCGAAATACCACCATGATAATTTATTTCTATAACAGCAGATTAAACTTGTTCCTTCTTTGTAAATATTACATAGGTATGTCCATTTTCTTAAAAATAACTAACTTTTTATGTTTAAATTGTGTTTATTAAATCTACACGCTGAACATATTATATTTGAAAAAAAAGCTCTAAAATTTGGATGATTACTTAGAGACCATTAAAAATAACATGATCCGAGCTTAAGTAGCTTTAGTTAATTAGGGCGCTTGGATTTCATAAAATATTCGGGATTTCTTAGATCGTAAGACCAACGCCTTAATTAAATACTAACAACAATTGATACCTAGGTAATTGGTAATAAGATTACCGGGGAATAGCCTCACTCTTGCAAATAATCAAGAATAATGGTAATGATTCTTACTGGATCTATCAAGTGAACTATGAACTTTTTTGTCACTTTAACTTAAATAAAATAAGCCCTTCTGAAATTCGCGGCTTGATAGGTCATCGTAAACGAAGCCGTAGGTGTACTGACATGCCTTGTCACGCATCTCTTTTTACTTGTTATCCGCTACCATAAACAGGAGGTAAAGCGGCTCCGAGAAGACTTTCCATAAGATGTTTGCGACTTAGTCTTGAAAAATGTAACATTATTGTAATTAGCGATGGAAGGGCCGCGCGCGTATCCAGTATAGATCGGCACTGGCAACCACGTATCCAATAGGATAAACGTACTTAAGCCTACTCAATTTACTCAATATTATAAACCAGTGCTTCAGTACTATTCCACCCGATGATAAGTGGTGAAGTATGTTAGTAATTGATAGTTTTATTTTAGCATTTAAAGAAATCAGTAAATTGAAATTTAGGTAGTTCACCTCGTCATCCGATCAATATTGCAGTAAAGTAAAATCAACATACAGTTTATATACTTGTCGAAGCTAGGTACTGAGCTCTAATAAAAACAATTAACAATTTCATTGATCGCGGTAGGGATTGAACCCGGTTTGCTCGCATTCTGTAAAAATGTAAGTCGTGCATTTGGCCTCTGAGCTACCATGGCTCACTACTGCAAAAGGAATTGTAAAAAAAAATATTACTATAGGCCGTACGAATGATACATCTAGGATTGCTAAACTATATAAAGGGACCAAGCACTATAATTCTAAAAAATAAAGTGTACAGAAATTATTGTATTATTGTAATAAAAGACTATAGCGAAAAGGTTTAAATCAGAAAAAATATTCCTTCCTATATTTGATATAAAAATTGGGAACCATAGATACAACTGTCATCTATTATTAGTATTATGGTTATTAGACTATTATTAAGTCTTCGGTCCAACGTACTAGTCTTACCTATTCTCAATAGATAGCATACTTCAGACTCAAGGGAAAGGCGTGCTAAGTCGATTATGTCCTCAGCCTTGTTGAGGCTAATTACACGAGTCTCGTATAGGTTGTTCATTTTGGAGACATTTTGTAGAATGTGCGTAAAATTTTTTTAATTACTTAACATCTCCGTCTCCCTTCCACCATCGGACAACCAGTTCAGCCGGTCTGCACCCCTTTATTGTCGACATACCACTCAGTCCAACCAAACGGTTTGCTTTGCGGTTATGTACAGCAAATTTATGGAATAAATAATTTGCCAGCACCTGTCTTTCCGTCAAAGTACAACGTTTCAAGTCCAGGCAAGAGCAAATAAGCTTTTATTAAGTTCAGCCAGTGGACTATATACTTTGGCTACATCGCGACTACCACAGGTGTGATAGCAACCAAGCGCTGGATTTACAAAATAGAACTTAATATAAAAGTAGTTACAAATTTTTTATTCCAACAAAATGACCTATTAATTTAGTCGTATCAAGTAACTTATTATGAACAACGGTTCTCACCACTTTGAGGAAATGAATGTTTTCAACATTTCACAATGTTAAATTTAAGCGTTGGAGCTTTTACTGGAAAAATCAAACTTTTAAACAAAAGTAAAAGCCGACTTCAAAGAACTAAAATAACAAAATAAATTCCATATAATAGCTTCTGAAGTTGGTACTAAGACAGAAGTGTAAAGATCAGGAGAGTAAAGATGGATTAATAACCATGAATTTAGAAGCTAACATGTGGAAATGATTATATTGTTTTTAATTCTTTGGAGTCGGCTTTTACTTTTTATTAAAATATATTTTTTGGCTCCTTTTATATGAACTTAGGAATATCAAAGTAGGAAATAGAAATGATTAGTCAAAATAGTATCAGTAATAACTTCATTCCCTATTTTGCAACCTTGAAATTTTTTCTCCTAGTTATTATGTAGTAGCAATCTCTGAAGTACTACTACTTAATAAAAAACCGGCCAAGTGCGAGTCGGACTCGCGCACCGAGGGTTCTAAACAAATCTGTAGGTATATAAGTTTAAAATTATTAAAAATATTTTTATTATATGATGTAACTAAAAATTTATGCTTTTCGCAATTTTTCCTTTATCTATGCTATAAAACGTTGCTTCGTACCAAATTTCAAGATTCTGAGTTCGTGGGAAGTACTCTGTAGGTTTTGATTCCCTTGGGAATGTCGAAAATTTGCGGCATAAAAGGCTGTATCTTTTGATTGCGTTGGCTTAGAAATTTGATTTTTTCACACCTCTAAGGGACAGTAGACTTGAGTATTTAATATGAATTTCAGTTTAATACTTCCACGCGTTCCTGAGAAAAAGGGTCTTGACAGACAGACAGATGAACAAAAAAGAGATCCTATAACGATCCTATAAGGGTTCCGTTTTTTCCTTTTGAGGTACGGAACCCTAAAAATATCATTATAATCAGTTTATAATTAAAATAAACGCTTAATATAAACACAATAAAAATCATACACACACAATGCTGCGACACTTCTGGCACTGCGATTGTCAAACCACCGGCCGTGCGTCACGATTAAGGTAAATTACTGCCTTATTTATAGAAAGGTAAAAAAGAACGAAGAATAAGGACCGAAATCAATAGGCAGCTCCACAAAGTAAATATTAGGTCTTTACCTATAAAAATGCCGTTTTTATGAAATGAGTTAACGAAATTTTGTTCCATATTTTTTATTTCTATTAATTAAAGTAATCAGCCATGCAATTGATGCATATTTGCACATGCAGTGGCAGTTTATTGATACACTGATTTTATTTTTTTTAGAAGAGGGGGCAAACGAGCATGCACCTCACCTGATGGTAAGTGACTACCGCCACCCATGAACAACCGCAACACCAGGGGAATTGCAGATGCGTTGCCGGTCTTTTAGAAAGGTGTAAGCTCTTTTCTTGAAGGTCCCTAAGTCGTATCAGTCCGGAAAAATTTCCGGCGGTAAACAATTTCACAGAGAAATTGTACGGGGAAGAAAATTCCTAGTAAAACGCACAGTCGTGGACCGCCAAGCATCCAGATGGTGAGGATGGTATCGTGAATTTGCATTTTTACTGCATCTCAAATATTGAACTTTTTTCTCGCCAAAAAGTTATCCAAATTCATATAAAGTTGAAGTCTATAGGCATAAGGTCTAGTGAGTACGGTGGATGATGGAGAGCTTCCAACTCTAGCTAACTACTACTAGTAACTTGGAGACCGTCTGTTGTGCAGTATGAGGTCGTGCGTTGTCATGCGGGGGAATCGGGGACGAGCAATTGACCAAAGCTGCTTCTCCATCATTGTGTTCAGTTCTTCACATCTGTAGTAACGCAAATCCCGTTTGGTAATGTAACGAACCCCCCCCCATCTTTTTTCTTTTCTACTATATATCCGCTTATACTTGTATTTCTTTAGAATCTACATCTGTAAGATATATAAATATATCTAATTTACGTGACCAGTATAACTTGATCTTTCTAAAGGTTTAAATATAGGCCGTTTAATAAATTTATGGCGTGATCGACTTAATTAGGACCCTTTTTTTACGTTGTGTTTGTATAGTAACTTAGTTCTTTTAGGTGTATCTTGGAAGAATGAATATTCACGTGAGCAATCGAAAGCTGTTGGTAGAGTCTTATAAGCTAAAGAACCCCGTTCACGAAGACAGAGCTCAAAAAGGTTAAGAACAATAAATTGTCCCTATTCCACTTGTATCTGGTTCACAACAGTCAATTCCTTATTAATTAATCCCTTCCCGCTTGGAAAAGGCTCACAATATTTATATCAAATACCAGTTACAAGGGCTTCGCTCTCCCACATTTTAAAAAAAATGTGGAGGAGGTACACGGCCCCACACACGTCGCGCACGGTGAGCGCCAACCATTTTAATGCGCTCCCCCCGAAGGGTACGCAAAGTTAGGAACTGGACCGTAGTCCACAGCAAAATAACTGGCGAACCAGTAAAAGAGGACTTGGCCCCTTGATAGTGCGTAAGCACAAACATCGATCGAAGTAGCGCATGTCAATGCGTGTAAACACCTTACAGAATACGATCAAATCCAGCCACAGTGAAATGTACGTCACACGGGTTAGGCAACGATCGGCACACTGGCCATAAAAAGCCTTCCGTGAGCGCCACCACCTGCCAGACCGCCGTTCCTGCAGACGTGATGTAAGTGTAAGGCATCACCACCAATTGCATGGTCAGCACGGCCAATTGGCCGCAGAGCGTGTCATGAGTCTACCGCTCACCTCAAGGGAATGGGGTCCCACGTTGCGCGGCTTTCGGCCGCAGCCTTGAGAGCCTCCTCAGATTCTCCCTCCAGCTACCACCCGCATGAGGTCAACACATATGCTCCACCAACCAATACAATGGCAGATATAGCCAATAGGCAGTTATAAGATAATATTAATAATTCGCCATCAGAAAGGGTTTGTGTCACTGACGTTGAGTATATGCATTTTTCGATCATGTTTGTCTCACCCACCAA